TAGTTCGTCTGGTAAGTAGGCATTGTGCAATCACGAAGCCTGGCTCATCGTCATTTGTAACGTGAACATGCGATCGGTGGGAATAACCACCACTTTGTTTGTTTGTAATTTCAACAAAATTCTTACCTAGAAGAAAATTGCTTCCCAGAAACTTTGGGCAAACAAAAATTGTAGGAAGGAAGGAACTGAATATGGATGAGGTTACCACCATCACTAATTTAATCACTTATTAGACACCGCAGTTTGATTATCTGACAGCTAGATTTATGTGTAATTTAGGTAATGTTAGTAAAATCTACAGATAGTGAAACGTCCTACACAGGCAGTTTCAGCGTTCTGTAACATGTTGTTGTAGGAGGGTGACGTTGAATCAATTACTTTTCAGCTTGTGCACATCAGATTTGAAATCTTGGTCGGGCATTCGCCTATCTCGTAATGTTAGTAACCCGGACACAGCATATCCCGGCCCGACCTAGATTTATTCTCTGGTGCACATATGAAACATGTCCCTTTTTCACCGGTGGGGAAGATCATGAATTCCTGCATTGAATTGAAGGCCGTGGGAACTCGAAGCTCCATCTTCTGAAGTAAACACCCTGCACCTCAGGTTATCCAAATGGAAATAGAACATGCGAATAATGGATGTGGCCCATTTCATTTTTTATAATTTGAAGTCGCCGAAGATGTTTAATCCGAAAAATTTCAGAAACGTTCTGCGAGGTGGCTTTCTCTTGTTCCTAAATGCAGCGATTTGTAGCAAAAATCTGTGCTGTGACTTCATTTTTGATAAGATTTAGTTCCTAAATAGTGGCGAAGAAAATCAAAACCCAACTCAAATTTTTCTCGAGCATGTACAATTTCTGAGAATACATTTAAAAATATTGACTTTCCACCAAAGTGGGCTCATGATAACGCTATAAACATATCACTTACAGAATACGGCTTTAAAATTTGTCATAACAGCGAATTGCTTCTACATACACCGCCACTGCCAAATATCCCGTCCTCTTCTCGGATATTCGAGTCAGTTATTCTGCAACCCCTGAATTTGGCCAGCCAGCGGTGCATATGCACGCCTTCTTCTCCCGTTGTCGATACCATCAACGGGATAATGTGTCCTTTCTTTGCTGCCGTTAGAAATCATTCAAACATGTAACGATAAGTTTACATCCGGGAGAGAGGGAAACCCGAGGGAAATCAAAGCAAATTTGCGCTACATCCTGATGTCGTGGTGGCCTTTTTACTTTGTGTTGTCTTTTTCGGGATATTCTTCCAACGTCAATCGCTGCTGTGTCCCTGGTTCGGTGTTACGTGGCAGTGAACGCATGCAGAGTGCCGTCCTGGCGAAACAAGGAGTAATATGACTGATAATATTGCATGTAGTGCAATGTAATCTATTTGACTCTTTGGTCGGATGTTGAATGTAAATTCAACGTTTCTGCTGAAAGCACACAGTTCTTGGGGGAAGTTAAGCGGAAATATTACCCAGGATTTTCACCGCTGCTTCTGCTGCTTCTGCTTCACTCACTCAATCACTTGGTCTCTCGCTTGGCTAATAATGCACTTTCCCTTCCTCGTCTGACACGGAGAACAAGAACTTGGGCTGCCTCCTCCTCTCCTCTCTCGTGGATCCAGCCCTACATTCCAGGCAGGAAATCAAAGTGAAGAGTTGGAATGAGAGCCTGCTGCCTGATCTGCTCCCGACGGAACAAATACAGTGATGACGGAAATGTAGGGTGGAGGAAAGCAAGAAAAATGACGGTTTGATTCGCTGAGCACCTTGTAGAAAGGAATCTGTTATGTATATATGATTATACATAAATAAGTGGTACACAGTGAGAGGAGACAGAGGAGAGTATTTATTAGGAGACAGTTAAAGATGGAGTGATGTACAGATTCATAACTAATTACATATACATATCTACGTAGGCATACATATACCTAACAAATCATTGAATTGGTTGAAGAGATGATTACTTTGATCTTCAGGTGTGTCTTCAGTTCTTCGGGCTGGGATAGAGTGGGGTTCGGATGAAAAGTATATAGGTCATAAATAGGCTGTTAAATCTGGTTTTGACATGTAAATAAGTATGTTAGCTCAGTGCTCCAACGTGATAATCGCAAACTTGATAAGGAAATCTAAATCATCTAACTAAATATAATGTTGCAAGCACATTCCAAGTTGACTTCAATATTGGCTACATATTCGTAATGCAACTGGTTGGCACCCATGCTCAGAAATGTAAAATCGTGCCTTTCCTTCCGACAAAGTACGTACATATTCCAGTCATGTGCCCTCATGAGAATAGGGTTAAGTATTAATCGTTATCGATGCCAGAACTAATTTGAGTTTTATCGAACTGATTCTGCTAAAGTGCCAATCGATACATAAACAAATATACGAATGGATCATAAAATCATCAAGATTGTGCCACTTAAATGCAAAACCTCGAAATTACAGCCAAATCATTTTCCTGGTCAAAGGGTGGCTCAACCTGGGTGCTTCCCCTCCATTCGGTTATTACGTATAACGGGTGAGGAGCACGACGATGGTCGGATGTGTGTTGGATTTAATCAAGAAGTAATTACGAAAATGGGAAGCGAAGCGATGAAAGCACTTAAGAAATACAGATTCGACTCGGGCTAAAGACAATTTCTTATCGGAGCAACGTTTGCTACTTTTGCTACATGTTCGCCATCATTTGCACAATGGTGGACGGATATCTACATCAGTCAGGGTTCGAATTGCTGGCCTTGTTAGTAATTTTGTTACGGTACGAAGCCTTGTTTTGCTTACAGGCCCGATGGCATGTGTAGATACATGACACAGAAGTTGGCATTGGGAACATGAAGGTGGATGCCATCAGTGGAAAGTGTTTTGTCAGGACAGTGACAAACGAGCCGAGTTCATTGTGACACTTTGGTAGGAAAGCAAGGGTGGAGAATGATGAGAGGAGGACGTAAATGCAGTGTTGGGGAGAGTGGTCCGTTATGGTTATTATTACAAATTTGCTGCCTTGCATTTGATACCACTTGAAACAATTTAGAGACGCGAGAAGGCTTTTAACTAAAATTTGGAATCTGTGTCACAAGCCGCATTGATCGTACAGCTTTTAACTTTTCTGCGTAATGTGCCCAACCAGCCTTGAAATATTAAATGAGCCAAGTGACAGCCTGCTTGTTTTCATCTATTTATAGGCAAATACTATTTACCAGCCTCGCCAAGATCCTCTCATAAAAGTGCGAATGGTGCACGAACACGATTTTTATTATAGAGGCACAAAAGACCGTGTAGAAAAGTAAAAAAAAACATACAGAGGGAACATTACAAGTGTTTACACTATAAAATACTTGTCCCTCCATTGTTAATTTCTACATTTTCATATCGATTAATTTTCACATTTGCATTTAGTATTCTCATGTAAACTTACTGGGCTAGTATATACGTACTTATACAACATTCGCAAGAAATCCTAAATCAAGAACATTGGCCGCGGGACAGAGGGACAATGTCCCCACGGTTATTCAATGTCCCCTTGTTACATAACCCTCCCCCCATCCCCTATCCCACAATATTAATGCCCCCACGGCTTCCGCGGCCACTGCTGATCCAGAATTGCCGACTGCTTCCTTTCATGCCGAAATGGATCACCTTTATTGACTGGGCTCCAGATTTAATCCTTCGAGTTTTAAGTAATGGTGAGTGATAGGCGAGGCGAGCAAGGTGATTGCGGAGGTTTGAGTAGCATTGCAGACAAAGTGCGGTTAGCGTCGGGAAGGTGGTGATGGAAAGAAAGCCAGGCGCCTTTCTCCCGTGGTTGCCTGGTCCATTGCCAGTGTCAGTGGGTTTGGCAAGCAGCAAGACGAAATTCTCGCCTAATCTAATTTAGAAATGAGGAATTTGAAGAACTCTGCTGGCTGTTTGGCAGACTTTCTCCTCACCGCCGTTCATTTATGTGCCGTCATTTCATCTCCAGGAGGAAGCCAGAGTAGATACTTAAATGCCACCAGACTCAATTTGATCCACACAGGAGAGCAGCTATTAAACTGCAACATGATCCTTTGAATTTGACGTTACATGACATATACAACCGACATGCGTACCTCTAGCTGTCCATTCCCTTCGACAAAGTGGTTAGATTACTCACGATAATGAGGGCAATTTGCTTTAAGAAATGATGTCCATGAAACTTTCACAACGACAAAATTCCAAGAATGGGCCTGAACCTGAACTCCGCGATCATTGCTCCACGTCGTCCGACTTGAATGATTCAGGGGAATGAAGGCAAATGAAGGTGGTCGTCGTCACTCGCGAATATTTCATTAGTTGATTGGCCTACCCACGACGAAAGCCCGTTTCGTCCAACTTGACAAAACGCGACTGAAAATAAAATAAAATAATGACGACAAGATTTAATTTTAGCCAACGGAGTGAAACTTGAAGCATGAAACGATGTTTGCTACTACTCTTTCCCAATTAGGAGCGCCCGTATAGTCCTCAGAATTGCAAGGAATATCCAGTTTCATAACTTGAGTGAAGATGCTTCCACTGCTATTTGCACGACCACATCGTTTGCACTAATAATGCTCTCCAGACAAAGGCAAAATTGAACTGTCATTATCAGAAATTAATTAATTTCCTTCCTTCAAGTCACAACATTTGCTGCCTACGATACGCTCTGTAGGCATACCTATCAGTCTAGTTCGAAACCAGGCTCAGGTTACATAGCATGCCTCCGTGTATTATATTTTAAAGAGGAGCAATTCATTTTAGCATTTTAATTGACAAACTTTTGCACCACAGCTGTCAGTTTGCCGTACGAGTTTTGCCATAAACGACATATTTCACGTAATGACATGTGTGGCAAGCGAAGAAGGGCTTTTTATAACTTTTTTTTCACTTTTAGATTTTAATGACCTTTCCCCGTCGCCGTTTTTTGTCGTCCCGACGAGTAATACTAATTGTTTGTTTATTACATAATGGGATCCTTTCTCTACAGAAACAGACGCATCCGTCCAGCCTTTCCTGCAAATTAATTTCACCCGATGGAGATTCGGTGCTGCGACAGGCAAGCTAGCCCATGAGATTAAGGTGAAGGATTTATCCGACGTTGGTGGCCGAACAACAAGTATTTATGCCTTGCCTTGCCCACGCTCGACAGAGTGCTTTACTTTCTCTGCCACGACACGGCTTTCAACTGTTGACACATGTCACGAAATAGTGACAACCCGTCCGACTTTTTGAAATCTCCATAAATCATCCTTCCATTTTAGGACACATTTCAATGTTTTTCGCCCTTGAATTGTATTTGATCTGGTCTGCTTCTCATTTCTCACAGGAGCGTAGAACTGTAAAAACTGTAAAAAATCGATGAACGAGCTGAAATCAATCTGCAATCATTTGGTTTTCTCCGATGAGTCCTTGCTAATAATGACCCATTGTTATATACCCATACGTATACTTTATTGTGTTAAAGATGCCATTTATTATCATTATTCTCATTTCCACAATCTCAATCGGTTGAATCCGCATTGAATTTGATTCCAATGGATCTGGGTCTTGAATATGAGACGTTAATTTATATGCAAGAAAAGAGTATTGAAATGCTTGATTAACGATCTTGATCAAACTCCGTGATCAATTGATCATGCATGAGATTTTGCACCGTTCAGGACGTATACGTCAATTCATCGATGAGAAATTAGCAGGAAATGTTTACGAATAAAAAAATACAAGGAGGAAAATTTTTATTATAGTTATACAATTTTTTCATGTGGTTAATGAATACGAGGTGAGCTAACCAGATGAAAATTGAGCGTCAGCAAAAACTATTGATCTAATTCTAGGTAGAAAGAGGATGACAGATATCAGATATTTATTAGTTTAAAAAATGTAAGAATAAATGTGTTAACACAAAATGTGTCTCATTGTGCTTTGGCAGGATTTGCAAAGGAATTTGTGCATTGAAGGATACGCAAGATAAATAAGATTTCTAGTCTTAAGTCTTCGCCATTCTGTGGACAGCAATGATGGGAGATTACGAGCGAATACGACTTGTGACCTTGGGGGGACCTGCCGTCGGAAAAAGTGCTATTGTCAAACGCTTCCTTTTCAACACATTTTCAGAAAAATACAAGCCGACAGTGGTAACATACAAAACTTTCTTTTCATACGGTATATGACCTAAATATCCCGGATGCCGGTGCTGCTTTCGTTCAGTTTTGCCCATTTCCAGGGCACTAGACTGGTACACATTTTTTGTCACCTGTACATTAAAGACAAGAAGCAACGATTCGACTTGCATCGCTACACACATTACATTTACCGGTGTCAGACTTGTGTAGTATCAAGATCGTGTCGATATCGGACTGGCAAAAGTGCCTGGAAAAGGGGCGAAATTGAACGACACATCGTGCATCCAGATTCAGTGCATATATTGTGATGGGTGTGTCAATCGAGATATTATGCAAGGCTAGGAAAAACCCACTTAAACCTTACATGAAATTACTGTACTGCAGGAGGACTTGTACAACCAAGAGTATGACTTTGGATCAGTCACCTTGAAAGTGGACATCCTGGACACTGCTGGAGACCTTCAGTTTCCTGCCATGCGAAGACTGTCCATTGCTACAGGTCAGCATTTTCAGAAACTTTGCTTTGGTGCTCTGCGACCATGCAGTCGACTTAATTTTACTTGTGCTCAATTGTTTGCAAAAATGCCCAGAGACGTGATGGGTACGTAATGTCCTCTCATGCGGGATGTCTCATTGCAATAAATTATCATTATCGCAGCTCATGCCTTCCTAATCACCTACTCCGTGGACAACAGAGCGACGTTCGAGCTGGTGAAAGGATTATTTGAGGAGATTCGTGAACAAAGGGCAGGTAAATAAGTGCAGTTCTCGCCTTAACAATTTCAAGGCATCGAAATAAGTACCCACTCGGATGTATCTTAATTATCCGAACTCCACGTGCTCATGGACCTACGTATTATCTGCTGTTTTTTTGTCTACCGTGTTGCAGATTTTGAAGATATTCCCATCGTCGTAACTGGAAACAAGATTGACGTGGGACTACTCAACCGTAACGTCCAGCACGATGAAGTTTGCGACTGGCTCGAATGCTCGTGGCCATCCCTCAAGTAAGAAATGCGTGCAAATCTCCGTTAACTTTAGTCATTATGTTTGAGTTAACTCACAATGGAGGTCTCTCAGCGTATGCTTTCCGATTTTGACCAATTAGTGTCAATCGATCACAAATATGATAAATATGGTAAAAATTCTATCTCCCAATGCGCAGGTTTGGCGGAGATATTTACATCCAAAGAGGAGAAGACGTATCCTAAAGTTGAGAAATTTTGCACTTTCCAAATTTACTGTCCGTCTTCTCCTCTTCGGAAACAAACATCTCTGCTAAACCTGAGCATTGGCAGATGAGGTCTTTCGAAAATTTATATTAATTTTGTGATCGATTCACACTAGTTTGCTCATAATCGGAAATCATACGCTGGGAGGCCTCCATTGTCAGTCAGCGCATATCATATTTTTTAAAAAATTTTAATTATTAAACTCGTTGTATACATTATTGTTAATTATTGTTGTCTTGCAGAGTGAAAGTCGTTGACTGCTCAGCGAAGGAGGACATCAACATCCGCGACGTGTTTCGAAGCTTTCTCCCACTCTCCAAGCTGGCCGTTGAGACGGAGGAGAATGTGAGCGGCTTGAAGAGAAGGTCCAGCGCGTCCAGTGCTCATGCCAAATCGCCAGTAGCTCCTCGATCCCCTGGACCAGCTTCTGCAAGTAATACGTTTTTTGGGTCGTCCTCATCTCCACCTCAGTCCGCCACACCTCCGTCGAGCAACAGCCGTGGAGGGACGCCCACGAAAAACCCGGCGAGTCCATCGTACCAGCAATTTCTAACGGAAGAATGCGCACTGTCCAATCGACAGAAGCCAAGAAGTCGAAGCTTAATGAGGAGGTCAAGCAAAAAAGTGAAGCAACAAGTTCGCGACGTTTCGGGTGGACCAGGAGATTGTCAAATGTCATAGTTCCAGTTTGACCTCGAATTCGGCTCGTATACTAGAATTAAATATATATGTTCTGTAAACAAGAGCCAGGAAATTGTATTGGACTGTTTAAGAATTACTTATTTACACAGGTTCACACAATATCAATCAGTCAGGGAAGGTCACCTAGCTCGACATTCGGGAAATTGAACTAGTGGTAGCACGTAGTCACTCACAATTCACAATGGGTCGTGAAATAAATAAAAACTTGAAGCATGTTTAACACATAGAATTCACTTGTGGTGTGGACAATAGATTATGGAAGGAAACTGTTTCTGGATTATCAATATATTTTCACTGGTCTCTCTCTCTGCTGGGCGGTTTGGTGTGGTGAACTTATAAAGTACATGTCAATATTTTAATATATGTATTATTTATATGTATAAAATGCAGATTATGGTAAAAACACGACTCATTACTTACATGAAATATATTGCATAAAATATATTAGTCACGTTGGATATCTTACTATCTAAGAAAACCGTTCTTACACTTATTTACTTGCTGTCAAAACCATCTTAACAATTTAAAAATAAATTGCACACTCTATTTGCTTGCTAATTTATCTTATTCATATAATAAATAGTTTGCATAAGTGTATTTAATCCCTAATGTGTGTACACTTTATATATTCGCATGCAAATTATTCTACTTCAAAACACTTAAGGCGCAGCTGGAATGTAGGGACCTAACAAATAAAATTTGTATGTATATACAAAGCGCAGCTTATTAAAGTAAATGTTAACAATAAGACCTGATCGAGACATGAGGATCAATTGTCAATTGGCATCTTTTACCATTTGTTAATTATACATTTTATTACTAAATAAATGCGTAGCTCATGTAAAAGGTGTCTAAATTAATGTGTTGAAAATAAATTAAGGTGTTGGTCATAAAGTAAACGACAAGAAAGTTACTACTGCATTTGGTAGAAATCCAAATTTTGATCCAACGTATATGTACATACGTAAGAAGAGAAAGCATAATACCCTTGAGCATGCACTTGAGCTCAGCAGCAACCTTTCACCAAGAAAAGAAAGAGCCAGGGAACGGGACGAGAAGGATTCTCCAGTTCCCAGATTGTCCCACAGATTTCTCTCGACATGACCCATGCTGGTCGAGGCTTTCCCTTCTGAACTGCTCATAATTCTCCCATATTCCCCAATTTGGTTATAAACCCGACCAACTGGGGATTTCTTTATTTATGTCATCCCTCATCATAATAAAGGATTCAGAGTATTCATCCATGTCTAGCACGCCCCCCAAGTCATGCAACAGTAATTAAATTCAAATAAATTAAATTCAGCATTACTGATCATATTACGATTATGTAACAGTGTTCAGGAAGGCGTGTCGTCATTGTTCTCGGTGAATGATACAGGAAAGCACTTGGAATATATACGTCGAGTAGGTATCACATCATCAAAAGAACGATAAGGAGAGCAGCACCAGTGGAAGGTGCAGTGCTTCGGGTTAAAGTAACCACTTGCAAGAAAGTGGTTTCTTGCAGCTATTTTGACCTGCAAGAAATGCAAGGCGCAAGAAACTATGCCCCTTTCGCTATAATTCATATGGCGTGTGGCCAGATTGCGCATATTTCTTGCAGTTTCTAGCTTTGCAGTGCAAGAAACGAAGCACTGGGAAGGTGTCCTCCGAAGTATTTGTGTAGCCTATTCTCGAGGCTAACAAAGGGCCGAGGTAGTGGTGGGGGAAAGTAGGAGTGGAATCAAGATGCATGGGAAAGCAGAGTGGTCCACTTGAAGGAAAGGTTTCGTGGAGGAAAGGGAGACCGAGTGTCCAAGATGGTTCCGTCCGTCGTCTCATCTCAGCAGCGCCTTCCCAGAGAGAAAGACGACGGTAACAAAAGTGCGTGCTTTCTCCCCGTCAAGCTGGAGTTTACTCTGGACTCTGGATCCGACCACACAGCTCTCCTGGCTGCCCTTTCACCACCACCACCACCACCACCACTTTTACCAACCACCAGCTAACGAAGAAAGTGACAAGTCTTGGATGACCACTACTCAAATTGTTACACGCTTCTGCTGGGATCCAGTCGCAACATTTGTTAACGAGTCCTCCTTCAAATGAGTTTGCGCACCCATCAACAAAGAAGAACGGACAATGTTGCAGATTTTGAAGTTGTGAGAGGGATCCAACTCTATTTACGAGGTGAGAAAAAGATTCGTTTATATTCTTGCATTCCTGGAATGAAAATGCTTTACGTTTCAACTCTGGCAAACACGTGTGTCATGTGAACCGTATTATCGATGTGACTCGTATTGTTAAGCTGAATAAACCAGCGCAGGCTCAACTAATTGCATTAAACTTACTTTTCAAGTAATTGAAACAAATAATCAAGAACGAATTTGTATGCAAATTAATCGCGTGTCCTAATTTCGAATGATTAATGATTCAGAGTCTGAACTAGCGAAATACCTATTTGCTTACGCTCAAGAAAGTTGGCTGTTCTTGTGATAGAAAATTTTTCTCTTGTCAATTTCAATTACAGATTTAACCATGTATTAGACAGCGAAACGCGCATAATTCAAATCAATCAGTTCTTTCATATCCATATCAGCCAACAAAGCCATTGTGTGAACAGCTTACTCCAAGTCTTAAAGAACCGCAAAAATTGCATGCATTGGCCCATTTCTCATCCAGTCAGACAATTTGAGAACTTGTGATGCATTTCAACCCACGAAAGCAGGAGCGTGCTTGCCGTGAGAGAAAATCTGAAAATGGAAAGTTTCACTGACTTTCAAATTAATCCAACGCGCTGTGGCCTCCTTACACGTACGTAATGGAGCCTAATAGGAAAACTGAGCGTATAGCCAGCCCAATGTTGTACGAATGAACCACAATGGGAGGAATCATCCCCAATTTTGTACAGTATCCAGTTCTCTCAGGAATTTTGCATTGAGTTGGATTGCTTTCTCCAGCAGGGTTCATATCTCGATGAATGCAGATATGCACCATCGCACTCACTGTGTGCGGATTATGAAATGCCATACTTTATGAGGTTGCAAAGAATTGGAATGAAAAGGGAAAGCTATATCTCATTCTCTGTCGTATCATCCTCCTCCATCTCCCATTCGCGTCTCCTCCTCCAACTCCCCTTTACACCCTCAAAGAGAATTCGCATTATGAAGGACCCACAATTTGCAATGCACACTCACCCGAGTCCAAAAATCAAATGGAGCATGGCGAAAATGCCGATATCATTCATCATTATGTCAAGAGACAAGAAAGACACGAGTTTAAATTTAAGGTTGTATCAAGGTAAATCTCTGCGTTCTACATATACGAGGACACACAGTCGCCCATATGGACGTATGTAATACATGTGTATGTACTCGGTCCGTGGAATTGTGCAGGTTGGTGATGCAGGAAACTTCAGAAGTTGGAACTGGGTCTGGATTAGGCATGGGGGAAAGTATGTGCATGTGTGTTGTCTCTGCATTCCCGTTAAGTGTTTTTAGGTTTACCTAGGGGTAAATATTTGAATGTTTGCACTGCCATATCACAGACACACAATCCCTATCACCACTCTCGAATAAACAAGTACTTACTTTCAACGGGCGTACGAAAGTACGGATGGCACTCGGAATACGTTTGGTTTTCGCTTGTTGGCAGTCCAGCCAAAAGTACCATTCACAGTTCGAACAGATTATATATGCTATTGACCTGTGACACATCCTATTTCGTGGCTGCGTATTTTGGTTAAAAAACGGACAAGTCTTTAGTAGTGGAATCAGTACAAAAGACGGACAAACACGCCATTCTTATAAAGTAGCATGGCTTCCAAGAAAAGAAAACTGTTGGTACAGAAAAAATGCATATTTGGTTTATAGATTGCATTGTTCGGGTGCTTGAAAATTGTTCCATTTTTTAGTATCAACTAAATTCTGCTATCTCCCACCGCACAAAATGTGACGTGTCTTTTGGCTTTGCATGAAATTGACTTGAAGGAACAAGGGTTTGAGAACCGCACTGGATTTTAATAGAGTTTAAGGAACTTGGGTGGTGTGAAGAGGATGACAAACACAGAACCAACTTGCCATGTCCTCCATATAAGTATTTAGAAGTGATAAAACCCATCAACAAGCAGCACAAGCACTGCATTGAAGCATGACAAGATTAAATAGCTGTGTTAGCAAACTCGAGCATATGGGGCCAGACCCACGTCACAATACGTTCAGAAGAAGGTCCTTTGCGGTGCTATTACCATGCTGACTACGTACACACGAGGCACGATATCATTCCATTCTTCTGGCGTGCATGTACGGGTGGTGAGGCTACCAGATCACGAAAAGATGACATAACTCAGCCTCTGCAGTACTTATTTTACAGATTGCAGATAACCTTAGCACTAACAACTAAGTAAGTTGATAAGGATAAACTTTACGCAACCATCCCACGAAGCGCGTGCATAAGCAGTTTCACGCCGTGGCTCATCTCTGGGCGATATGTTTATGGAAATCGATAAAGCCACGTTTAATACTTGTGTGACAACTCATTCCTTCCGCTGAAGGATGGGAATAATAAAGTGTGATCTCCCGTGATGGCGGGCAGGAGGAGGATATCAATCACAATCACCACATAGATTTCAACTGAATCCAGGTCTGCAATAAAATTGAGGGCGTGCACAGGAATGATATCGCGAAAGGGTTTTCCAATGTCTTTGCCAATTTCGAAGTCATCTGTGCAGCTCAGCCAGTCACTCGGGGGTTGTTGGAGCGTGAATCAGATTATGTATCCATGTATGTAGAAGACTGGTGACGGTGAGGATACATACAGGGAAATTGTGCAGACAAACACGTTGGCCGTTTCGACATGTGCAGGACACGTCACCCGAGAAAGACAGATCGTTTTGACGGTCAAGCTGAGAAAAGTAGAGTTGGCGAGACTGTGATGTGTGAAATACAGAAAAAATGGATTCGCATGATGATGACTTTCTCCATGCTGCAAATAATCTCAAATTCGCCATCAATTTTTTATCGCTCGTTCAACGAGCCAGACTTTATAAGAATAATTCAATCATATACGTAATATCCTAAGCGTGCATTATGTATGCAAACGGTAGTCAAGATTTCTTTCATGGCGATTAAAAACCATTTTCTCATATAAATGAAAAGTTTTTTGGTGTATTTCACTTGTGGAAAGTGAGGCTCTCTGGTTTTATATTGGTCCACTTTAAAAGTTCAAAACACGATTACACATTCGCTCTTTGAGAATATCAAGTTTTTCCCGTAGCATTTAAAAGGTGAGTTTGAGATGCTGGAGAGTAGGTACGCATCTCAATCTGCCCTAGTCGAATGGGCGAAAGAATGTGGCCTTTCACATGGCTTTCACCGAGTCTAAAAACAAGATGACAGACAAGACAGCTCTTTTTCAATTTGCTTCATTTCTCTCAATAACAACAGTCCTTGGAGCCCTTTGTCCTACTCGTTTGATTCCAAGTCAACCTTCTGGCCTTCAGTCGAGGCTCGGAGGAGGAGGAAGGTCTAATGGATTTGTCAAATGCGATACAAGGCATTGTAACGTGAAGTGACTGGAGTTGAAAGGATATATAAAAGCAGACATGCTACTTACGAGGAAAGCTTCACTACTCGCCCATAATACATTTCGATGCCCTTCGGTGTGTTTTCACTCCATGACCACATTTCTACCCGCCACGCCACACCCAGTCAAAGGAGACAAAAACACAAAAATCCAAACTTTATCGGTAAATTCTTGTACAATTGTAGTCCCAGATAGCCGTTTCCTGATATCCAACTCCAAAATATGTTTTTTAAGTATTTTTTAAAATTTCCTGGCGTATGTCTGAATATATATGTATAGGTATATATTTATGTCCTCGAAAAAATCAAAATTACAAGAAAGTTGGGTTTGCTTTAGGGTATTAGAAAGCAACCATCGTAAGCATAATGGTGCAAAAATTTTCAAAATCCGAACAAAATTAAATGAATGAAAAAGGTATTTTTCGTGTTTTTGGTCCCTTTGGGTGGGTGTGGCGGGCGTAAATGGGGCCATGGAGTGAAAACACTCCCGGATTTTAATACAATCATGGGACTCCCATGGGACATATGCATAGGGCATCGAAATGTGTTCCTGGCAAGTAGTGAAGCTCCTCTCCTTAGTTTCCAATCCATCGCAATGGGGTGAAAACTGAGAAGAAATTGGAAAATCGAGCGAACCGAATCCTTTCCCTGCAGCGTCATTTTATTTTAATCGGCCGGCAATGCTTCCATCATAGGCACATCATCATCATGACACTCTTCCACGAAATGGCCGCAAAGTTTTTCTGCGAATTTTTCATCACTCGCCGATAAAACAAATTGAAATATTGCAACTGAAGTACGCACTTAATGATTCTAGTTCTTGCCAAATTTCATGCAGAATTTATAGCAATGAAGCTCACATTCTTTAGAAAGTATTGCGAGTGGGAGTTGGCCTTTTATTTGGTCATGCTCAAAACAATCAGATTATAATATTTTGGACAATAAATCAGTTACGATTTCTAAAGGGCTTTCACAAAGAAGTTAATTGATTTTGGTATGCCAAGTGCTCCATGTGTGGACTTGTGTCAAAAAGTGCAGTACGAACGACCGAGAGCACAATATGAGATTTGCGAAAATGCTATATCTGCTCATGTTTGTTGGATAATGTCACAATAGCACATGCAAATGACATATTTGACAATCTCAGTTTAGCGACCCAGCAGCAAGGGGTATTTCAGCCCGTGTACTTCTCCAGTCGCACAGGAGACATGTGCGAGAAGGGCGAGATGAGGAAGTATACGCAACTTTTGCACTGTGAGATCTGGTTAGACACCCAGGTCGTCTGCTAATGCAAACCAGCCTCACAAACGAGCATTTTGAGAATAGTTAATTAAAATTCTTTGATTTGTGGACACTTTCCCCAACATCCTGCTTACAACCGGATTTTTTGGCTGTATAGACTTTCTCCGCCATAGGTCAATGTGACCCACCCAGTGAGATCTAAGGATTTGAGGAATATTTGAGTTCTCCGTAGTTGGAATGGCACGTGTGGGAAAATTACATCTGAAGCCATCATGGCAAGGCTATCAAGTTTAGCTGGTTAGATTTCTCTGTGCACTGGACTTTGTTTCTGCGGACGATTGATGTTTCAAATGAGAAACGCTTTGC